AAGACCCCTGGGATCATCAAGTCCAACCATTAACCCTACACTACAAGTTCACCCCTAAACCATATCACCCAAATCACAGAAATCACAGACTAATTCAGGTTATAAAGATGCTCTGGAACTTCTGTGGTCCAACTCCTGCTCAAGGCAGGGCCAACTCCTTTCTAGATCACATTGCTCAAAACTATCTCCTATTGGGTTCTGACTATCTTAAGAGTAGAGAAATTGCACAGCCTCTGTGGGGAGCTTGTTCCCGTGTTCAATTGACCTTTGTGATTTTATTTTATTTTTTTAGTCATGATATCTAATCGGAATTTCCCTTGCTGCAACCCAACCTCTGCTCATCCTTCCATCACGCTCTCCAAGGAGAACTGTCTTCATAACAACCCCCAGCAAGGAAGCTGAACACAGCAGGAGGGTTTCTACAACCAGTATCAAAACTCTTCTGTTTACAACTAGGAAATTCCTCCCTATCGACATTTTTCAAAATACAGCAACTTTTGGTTTTGAAGACAAAATTGGTAAAAATTTCCAATAAGAATCTACTTCCCCTGTTACGAAGCTGAAATAATATGAAACAGAACCAAAAAAGCCACTCAAGCTTCTAAGTTCTTGGAAAAAACAGAAGTAGCACACATGTAAGTATGTAGTTACAGACACAGTAAGTCACTGCTACTCCTTTTGCACCTCAAAGAACATTTCCTACTTGGTTCTGCAAGTCAGTAACGGTCTATTTACTTACTGCAGGATCTTCTACAAGTGAGAGGAAAGCTGACCGAGGCATTTATTCGAGTTAACTCAAGTTTGGAAAAGAAAACAACAGGGAGGTGACAAGTCTGGAATGCAACTGTGTGTCACCCCATGACTTCAGAAACTGTTCCTAAGAGCTCATTCGCCCCTTTCTCCAGTTGAGATAAAAGGGTGCTGCCAGTGGGAAGCTGCTTAAAGAAGAATTATTTTTCAGAGTCATGTGGTACTGCCTTCAGGCAGGCAAGGGACAGACCCACAGCAAAGGCTCCTCTCATCTGTTTCCAAAAATGTCACCTGTCAGATTTACCAGACACATTTCAAAAGCCTGGATCACAAACACTGTCTTAAGTAAGATGATGCTGCGCACTTGCGTGGGGAACTAAACCACACAGAACCGAGAGAGAAACTACTGTCAATATACTTACTGGGTTTTTTTAAAGTGCAAGTAAAATCCACCTAGTGTTCAGTACTTAAAAGAACAGAAACAACACTGCCTGCTGCTATTAAAGAACCACACAATGTGCTTACCTGCGACCACATTCTGAATATTTACCAATATTTTTTAATATTAAGGCAGCTGTTAATCGGATGTGTTTAGTTATTGGTCCCTCTTTTTCATCCTACGAAAGAAAAGAGGAAAAAATAATGCAAGAGCCTCATTGAACAACACAACAATTAATACATAATACTTAAGTCAAACAATACTAACTGTGAAATCTCTGAAGACAAGGTTTCTTGATCCCCTCCTTAATGCCATTAGGGCAGCACTCGGATGATTCACAATGGCCTTCTGTGCTCTGGGAGTAGAAGCAGTACCCCCTACAGCTGGCTGCCTGCAGTAGTAAAGAAAGGATTAATAAAAAGAAGCTTAGTAGCACTTTCTAGAAGATTAACAACTCCGAAAATTTATTTTTTAACCCATCTGAACAGAGACACAAAGATTCATTAATACTCAGTTCTGATACGTGATTTGCCTTTTGTTTCCATAGAGATAAACCGTACTGCAAAGCCTTCTGAAGAGTCAGGAGCCTTAGACGAAAACATCCCACTTCCCTCGAAGAAGTACTGCTCATCACCCGTGACACTTGTGATGGAAAAGTAATACATTGTACTAATGACACAGCCACTTCCTGAGGTGTACCTATTTAAAGGAATGTATTTTCAGTCAGGCTTTAACAGGAACTCTGATAGCAGCTATGCAAATGTCATCTGAGATTTGGCCACACAATGTCCTTAAAATACAGCTTGGAACTCATTGGGACCCCGACACACTAAGGCAATGTAAATACATATTAGCTGTGGTTAGTGAGGAGTAATACGAAGGAATATGACTGAAGTTACGATCTAAGATATAAAACATCCCATTGCTAAAATTGGATCAAACATCTTTAGGATCCGTTACCTGTTACTGCAGCTTTCAGACTGAGATTGATAAATTAAGCAGAGTATTTTATGAAACTGGTACAAACAACAGCAGTAAATTCTCCATGTGCAATATCAACACTGAAGTCAAAGCTTCAGTGTAAAACTGGTATTACTCAGACAACTAAAGTTCAGAATGTGTAAATATGCAAAACTTCCTTTAATGGGTACGACTCATCATGTCATCTCAAGAACAGTCACTCTGCACTCTCTGAAGTAGGCGTTGTTTTACTAAATAGCAAGCGATTAAGTGAAGGAAGTGGGCCTAATTAATGCCTACAAGTTGATTTGCTTACACAGGCTTCACCTCGGTGCCAGTTTTTAAAGTTGTTTCAGCTCTATACAGCAGTTTAGTCACATGGACTGGAGTGTATCAGCACTCATCTGTCTGATGAGTTTCCAGGACTCAACAAAAAGTAAATTAAACCAAAACCTTTCAGACATGACCATGTAAGCAGACTTGAGGTGATGTGCTGGAGCTTATGGCTTCATTTTACAAGCCCTGAGAGCAAATTATCAAAATTATCAAGTCTTGTCTCCCTCATGTAGCCAGGTCCTCCCTTCAGTTGTGCAAACATTAACTCTGTGGGTTACACATAACATACACTCAAAATATATTTGTTTCTTCATTTCTTTTTTTGGTAAAAGAGCAGTAATAGAGACATGAGGGACGAGAGTACAAGTAATGGGCAGGGAACTTCCGTGATTTCCCAGAACAGCTAAGTGCCTTAACTGCCGTGAGTGCTGACAGAGAAAGGTCTCATCTCTTCTTTTCATTCCAGCCCACCTCCTGGTATGGAGTGTGACTGACTGTGAAGCACGTATATTCCACTCACCTGGCAAATGCCCTTTTCTGATTTTTTTAAAAAAATATCAGAACTGATTCACCATGCGATCAGACAAAAACTAAAGCTAGTTCTCTCACTGCAAGCAGTGCACAGCCACAAGAAGGAGCAAGGGAGGGCAGGGAGAGTCAAAACATCCTACTTTGAGTAGCAGAATGCTCTTATTTCAACTTATATTCCGAAATCACATCCTTAAATATCTTGTGATGCTGCAGTCTCAATGTTTCAGCAAGAACTAGTTATGCAGATCAATTCCTACTTTCTAAACCTGACCTAATTAAGGAATTCTGCCTCAGAAGTGGTGGTGGTGGGGATATATACAAATGTTTTTTCCAATACGACTACCTGTGCCAATTTTCAAGAAGCCTGTGAGGACACAGAGCTACTGGAGGTGTTCTCTGTGTGATGGAACACTTCTGAAAAAGCAGAGTTGAGATCACATCATGCTGGTAAGATGGTATCAGCCTCACGCTTCTCACTTACCAAGTATTTAAGACTACATTACCATCATTCTGCATTTTGTGATTTTCAGAGGTCTGCATGTAGTTCAGAGTCATGAAACAAAGCATCGTAACGCAACTGAAAGTCTGTGTCAGAAGTTTTTTTCAGATTAAAAAAATAATAAACAGACTCCCAAACTAAATTTCTCAGCTTTCATACTCAACTTTCTCTGCTGCCTCTAGCAGCTTGGTAGCAATTTAACTAGCCGCAGAACAAACTGCAAAAATCAGCCTGGGACCACATGATTACACCTTTAGCTTGCAACAAAGATGCCAGTTAGGTACTAACAAAGACCTAGTCTTAGTACGCTTATATGACTAACTGAACCCTGAATAACTCCAATATTGAGCATAATCATCTGCACAATCCCACAGCTCTCCAATATTAATTCCAGATGGTTGAAATAATTTTGAAAAGGAGCTACAGTCGATTCCAGGTAGTGGCAGAAAATTAGAAGACTTAGATGAGTTGATATTTATTGTGTTTGCTTGTTTAAAGTGTATTATGGAGAGTCCCTCGTTCAAATTAGCCCAGATTTAGCCCACAGAACTGAAAGCCATATAGCAAGTTACAAGACAATCCACAACACAACAAATAACTTTCCATTTGTATTATAAGCACTTTCTTGTTACGATAAAAGTTATAAAATGCTGTCCAGTTGGGAAAAATTAGGAGCATATGTTGAGAACAAGGTTCCTCACAGAGTACTGACCCATGTACCTTAAAATAATTACCTGTTCTATTTAGGACAACTGCAACCACACGTCCCACATAAGAATCTATTTCGTCTTTTGTCCATTTTATCTTACTATAATGGACCTCAAATCTTCTAACTGTTAGAGAATCTACATATGCAGAATTTAACCTGATAAACCAAGTTATCAATACACGAATTCTTCCAATAATTTATGATTCTCTCATTTTCTCTCTTGGTAGTGAGGGTCAGGTCTCTTACTTATTGGCAGGCTTCGGGTTTCCTGCTTGTCCATGTTCATCTTGCTTTAATCCCGCAAGCAAAGCATCTCTGGAACAGTGCTTATCCTGTGTGGGGGAAAGAGAAAGACAGTGAGAAAGGCGTGTGAAACTTTACCATGAAATCCCTACTATTTTCTGAAATTAGACATGAAAGAGAATCTGCACCTGTAAATGGGTAATGAAGGAAAACCTCTGCCGCTGGAAAGGTTCACATCCCTCCCATAAGCACTGCCCCGGGTAGACGTCTTTTCCTCCGTGTTCAGTTGCTGCATGATAGAAAACCTGCGATGGCGTCTGAAACCACCTATGAAAAGAGAGGGAGAGGAATTTAAGTTTGCTTGGGTGTTTGGTTTTTTTTCCAGTTAATGGTAAAGCACAAATATCACAAAAGTAAGCCAAATACAGGTGAAACATTTTTATTTTCTGAAAAGAGACATGCGCTAATAAATGAAAAGTTGTAAAATTTTAAAAGGAAAAATACGTACATATATTACCAGTGAGCTACCAACAAATGGCAATGTGATTTTGCCAAGTCCAATTGAAATATCACGGTTCTGTTCTCGTATTTATATTTTACCAAGAAAATAATGCACATTAATTCCAATAGATCTATTCTCTGCAATACAAGTAAAATATAGTAATAAACTAAAAACACCGAGTTTAATGTTTTCCTTCTTTACTGGCACTCATGCTCAGACACTTAAACTTTAATTGGGAAACAGAGATGCGCACAATTCACTCAATTTTGCACACGTCAAAACTGCTGGAAGAAGAGATTAATCTAAAGTTAGTGCTCTTCAGCACCTGAATTCTAAGTATCAGGAAAATAGCTAGATATCCTTTCCTGACATATGCAGACGTTGAAAAATGTCACTTATGCGACTCTTTTTAACTTTTTCACTTAAATCACAGAACCACAGAATGGTATGTGGTGGAAAGGACCTCTGAACATCACCTAGTCCAACTCCCTGCAGTAAGCAGGGACATCTCAAAGTAGAAGGCCAGGCTGCTCAGAGCCCCATCCAACATGGCCTTGAATGTTTCCAGGGATGAGGCAGCTGCCACCTTCTCTGGACAACCCATTCCAGTGTTTCACCAAATTAAAACAACTTTCTGAAACCTCAAACTGAGCATTTCGCCTTCTGACAGCCTCAAAGCACAGACATGAGGTATTTAGCAATTTAAGTGTTTCCACACCAATACAAAAAATGCAAGTTGTCCTGTAATACTGGCCCTGTAATACTCTTGACAGTATATTTTAAGTTTTCTGCATGTTCTGTTTGGGGAAAACACAGGCATGACGTACCTTACAGTGAGGGCTTTCTTCCACTTCAGAGTGGTAGAAAAGTTACAACTCACTGTGAAGGCCACCTCAAAATACTGGTGAACCAACAGTTCTCAGATCTGCATTTTCAAATTGTCATGTAGACAAAATATGTGTTACTGTAATGCAACAGAGAAGAGAAGGCTGAGAGGAGACCTTATAAATGTCTCTAAGTATCTGAAGGGTGGGTGCGGGGAGGATGGAGGTGGATTCTTTTCAGTGGTGCCCAAGGACAGGACACGGGGGCAATGGGCACAAGCTGGAACACAGGATGTTTCACTTAAATATGAGAAAGAACTTTACTGTGAGGGTGACAGAGCACTGGCACAGGCTGCCCAGGGAGGTTGTGGAGTCTCCTCCTCTGGAGACTTTCAAAACCTGTCTGGATGCAAACCCATGTAAGGCGCTCTTAGGCGATCCTGCTGTAGCGAGGGGAGTCCCTTCCAATTCCAACAATTCTGTGATTCTGTGCTATCAGATGGTAATGGAGAATCTCTATATTTAAAAAAAAATTAAATGAAAATACTGAATGACTCTAAGTATTTGTGTGGTTTTTTTCTAGTCTAGATACCCCTTAAAAACAGATCTCAAACATTATAAATTACATCCTTACTTCAACAGGGACAAAATGCCCAAAATAAACAAAAGGCTTGGCTGCTCGTAACTCATTCCAACTACTCCATCTCATCAACATCCACTTAAGGTTTGGACAGAAGAGGTCTAGAAATCCAGTTGCTGCCATTTGGGAAGTCACTACCACCAGCCGTCCTGCCATACTCGCTGGACGGATGTCACTGGCCTCATTGAGGGGGGAACACGGGCACCCACCTCAGCCACATCAGTTCACGTGCCAGTGAGTGAGTTCCAGTTAACAAGAGAAGTATTTGCATGAAGATGTCTGACTGACCTCACCCGGCTCAACTGCGCCAAGAGGGAGCTGACCTCCAGCCAGAGACTCAGCGTAAGCAGCCAAGGACGAAGCAACATCTGAAATCTACAGTGGTCATTTGCGGACAAATTCAAGTCAGACCTCTCGGCAGATGAGCAGCAGATCAGGAGATGCTTTGATCCAGTCACCTCCTTCCACATCCTACTACTCCTTTTGAGAGCTCCCACTATGCAAACGCAGCTGCAGTCTATACGTAGGCCTAAGCGTACAGGTACAGTTACCTGAACCTCACAAAAGTGTCGAAGAGCTGATTTCACCTAGAGACAAGTCTCCATTATAAACCCAACCCCACTGCAATAACCACCCGTAACACAGCAATTACCTTCTGCACAGGCAATATTACTCTTTTAAAAAGTGTTCATCTTTTCCATGCCAGTCAGCTCTTACTGAAGGGAAGCTGGGGAGGAGAAATACCTGCCTCTTGTTCTTAGTCCAGACAGCCCATAGCAGGAAATGAAAATGAAATGTTTTACATCTACATTGGCTCAGCAGAGAAAGCTGATGCTTTCGCAGACAGAAAGGTATCTTTCCACAACAAAGGGGAAGTCAGTATGTAAACTTCATCAGCCTGGCACAAATCTACTTATGAATAATTCTTGGCACTGATAAAACAATTTCATGGCATAAGTGAAACCCAAAATATAGTTTAAAACATTTTACTCAACATGGCAAGGCTTTAAGAAAAATAAAGCTGTTTCAGCGACGTTGGCTCCTTCATTGTATAAGATATTCAGTGTTATACCTCACTCATAGATCTAAGAAAATTCAGATTTACTATCATTCTGCAGAAAAATAAATCTATTTTCCTTAAGGAAACACTTAAGCATAATAATATAATAAGAAAAAGCTCAAATACTGAGCATACGGTCTGCTGAGTGTAGACTCATTTCCCACTTAATTTCTCCATCATTCTGTTTGCTGAACCGAACATTAAACTAATAGCTGACCTGACAGGAGTGGAGATTCAACAGCATTTCCAATTTGCTTTTTAAATACAAAGCAATTCAAGAGCAGACATCTCTGGCCTACCTATGAAACAAAATAGCAGCTTTTAAATTAAGCTGAATACAATTAGCAGTGCTTGCAGACAGCTGCACTTCAAGGGGAAACACCTTCTTGCTGTTACATCCTCAATACAAAGCAGTGTGATAAATGACACCTTTTAGAGTTTTCCTTCCACTTCAGATACTAAACCTGAACACATCCCTGAGAGGCCAACCATTACAACTTTTTGCATAATAGGGCCAGTCGTCAGCTACTATTTACAGACTTACTGTTGCATTTTATGTCAAACTCTTGATATAATATTCCCTAATTTAATTCTAAACAACTAAACAGCAGAACTCACACTCATGCCACCGGACTGTAGCTCACTGCAGCAGCCAAGTCATTTGGTAGGAAAAGAATATGCTATTTTATTTATTCACGTTTATTCTGATTCTCGATAAAATGTTTTTGGAGTTCTTCGAACTTACCTGAATAATATTTTAAGACAGACTTACAAAAAGACTGATAACATAAGGTAATCATAATTGAGTTGCTCTTCCTCCTGCCCCAAAATTTGTCTGTACAAATATTGACGTCCTAGTTCCCATGTGACATTGTGCCACGGTTAGATGTCACCCCAGCCCTACACAACTCGTCCTACATGACTTTAGACTTGGAAGAAAGTTGGTGACTAACTTATGCTTCAAAACTGTAGATCAGCCAACTCTTCAAGGTACAGATTGGCAAGGCTTTGGCTAAGAAAACGCCCCAGTTTTTCATTTCCATCTCAGTACAAGCCATCCTTGTCCCAACAAAGGTGTTTATGCATCTACTGTGCAGCCAGCAGAGCATGGTTCTACGGTCATATTTACTAGTAGTAAAGAAATAAAAAGTAAAGCCTTACACGTATTTCTTACATAAGCAAGTGTCAACTACCAAAGAAACAAAAATCACTTTTAGGGTGAAAACAGGGCCATGATTTAAAAAGCGCCATTTCTCAACAGTACCAGTCAGAGTTCTACCTAAAATTCTTATGCCTTGCATTAATGATCTCTGAATTATGTTTGTAAGGAATGAAAGAAACAGAAATTACAGCTGCAGGGGTCTACCAGCTTTCTGCCAAATTAGCTTGTCTTTATGCTCCCTTTGTCTTGTCCTACAACAATGAAGCATCTCACCCTTTTTTGTGCCCACCCTGTATGTTATGCAATTTTTCTCACTGTTTTCGAAGCAGCTATGTGACAACTGCCTTTGTTTCACCAACCTGGACCCTTCACTGAAAACCAAACATATTCACAAGCCTACATTATTTTAAAAACTAGTGTCAAGATACACATACTAATAACAAGGGTAGTGCATTTTCTGAAGACTATGTCAAAAAATCTGCTAGCTCACTCGTCTGTCTTTTAAGAACAACAATTAAAAAGAAGTCTATTTGTTGCTGTCTTGTCTTAAGGGTAAACTCCTTTTTATTTCCTTTTGTGACAAAGGAGTTCTGTGGCACACAAATGGCATAATACTTACTAAAATTAGTCATAATCTAAATAAGACTTTGACCAGGATGTAGGAGTGCAACACCCTGCTCTTGCAAAACTGGAAACACAAGAAAGATTAAAAGCTGAAAACATAGGAAAATGTCAAGACGTGCTTTGTAACTGGAGTACATAATTAGTTTTGTATTTGCAACACAGAAAACAAGCTTCAGAGCTAGGAATTTTTTTCTTTTTAACTTAAGTACGTGGCAATATATTACTGAAGAATCAATATATTGCAAGGAAGCCATGTAATCCTCACTTCATGCTCAGACCTATAATTAGAAGAGTTAGATATCTTGCACTTCCCTATCTCACCTTCAGCTTCCTCAAAACTCTTCACTTTTTCTTTTCCCCACTGCCAAAGTATAAGGTAACTTCAGGAAACAGAATGGACAGAACTTGTCCAATCACCTTCTATATACAAGCATCTGCTACATATTAGTAAAAGGTAGTTAAATAAAGGAGCCATTTACTTTTTACAAGATTGCCACAGACACATGAAGTTCTGTCCAGGTTTTTTCATCTGCTCTGCATGCTGACTTGCTGCAGTGTAGGCCGGGGGCTGCAAACTGATCTGCTGGCCCTGTACTTGCACTGTTGGAATCGACGTTGCAGGTGTGCTCTGTAGAAAAAAGGTAAAACATGGTTTTAAACAGGGCTTACTTCAAGACTTGACACACAAGTTCACTCTTTGTTCAAAGATTTTTTTTGTTTTACATTTTAACCCATCACAAGTTTTCAGATTTTAACACCTTGAATAAACATTAATAGGCACAATAACATGAGGGACAGACAACTTTAACACTGTAGAGATTTCTAGTATTCAAATTACTAAACATTATGTCCAAATTCAAACACAGAATTATGACTGCAAAGGAATTTCTCAAGTGCACTAGTGGAGCAAAGGTTAGCATTATTTTGCAAAGGATTTATTTGTTCTTTAAAGAAAAAGAAAAAAATCAAACATGCAAATTCAAGGGGTTGGAGTATCATCAGCACTGGGAGTAGTTTGTTTTCTTATGTAAATGTCGGAGAAAACATTGCTAAAACAAGTAAAATGAGCACCGATACATCTAAACCAGCTTTATGTTCTTTGAGGAAATGTTTTTTTGTGCTGCATCTGTGGAATTCTTGAACTGCCGCATTAGTACATATCAGCCTGTGTTGCAGAATGTTTAAAAGAAGGTAAATGGAACAATGCTGAAGCAACACTACCAAAGACCAGGTGGCTAAAACATACCACTTTATTTATAAAAGCCTGGCAAATTATTTAATTCTCCAAGCCCTTGTAAAACCAGCCAGCATATGTACCTTTATACGGAACACCACATGCCAGAATACCTAAACATGCTGTACAACTTGTACACAGTGAAATATAAACAAGTCAGAAAGGAAAAAGATATTCCCCTTGCTTCCTTGCAATACTACAAGACACCTATTTTAACAGTGAATAAAAATTATCTTAACAGTGACCTAGAAAAGACAAGAACAAAGCCAAAATATGTCCATTTCATCTGTTTTTCTCAGTAACAGATACTGAACACTGGACTTCTCATTTCTAAATGGTGTTTATGGCAGAATACTGGTTCTCTTATTTTTTTCCTGGAAGGTTCCAGCCAGAAACACATTTATAAAGATGATGACAACAAAAAAATTAAGGTTTTGAGTATTATCTTGGAAAGAAGACCTAATATGCTTCCCTACTGTTAAAAAAAGGAATGCACTCTTCAGAAGAGACCAAACAAAGCTACTGTGTTTAACTCTGTGTTAAAGCATACTATAAAAGAAGCATTTTCAAATGGTACACACCACACTTCGTTTACATCTTTACAGCTGTTACTGAACAATTTTAGACTTTAACTGTAAAAAAACCCAAACAGTTAAGTGCCACTTCTAAAATTTCATTTGCATATCGATCTTCTGTTTTCTTCCTGCTGCTCTCTGTTGGCACTGTGGACAACAGTCACACAAGGTAACAAGTTAATAAATATCACAGATTGTACAAGGCAACAACGGGACAGCAAAAAAGCCTCAAGACCAAAACTATTCCCACATTCAAGCACAAATCCTGATAAAACTCCCGCACGTGGCCCAACTACAGCATGATGGTTACAATCTGTGGGGGGGGCAAGTTTTAAGAAAGGACTCGAGTCCATTAGTCACAGCTACAAAATATTTTGAACCCATAAATGATTTTCATCCGAAGCCCCCATAGCTTTGTACAGACGGGGTAACGAATCTTCACAACGTGTCTTTTAACAGAAGGTAAACACAAGTCAGCCTTTTAATGTCCCTTCACAAAAAGCATTTTTTAAAGTGCAGCTAAAAGTAAAATTGTTAAGTGTCAGCAGTACAGCTCGTTTTGCAATTTTCATTTGGCACCTCAATACCAACACCTTATGATAGCCTTTATGTGATTTTTTTATACTTATATAATTTCTGTCTCATTTAATGTGCTTGAGACAGAGTGAGCTTAGCGAATTATTTCAGTACTTTATTTAATTCTCATCATTCAATGTGGGGTTCATACACTATTTACTCCATCCTAAGCAAACCCTGCAATTAATCCAGAATTATGAATTTTCTCAAGGGTTTTTCTGGCAAGCTTTCCTACTCATATTCAAAGTTTTTAATACCATCTCATCAAAAATTTGCTTATTTTAGACAAGGCGGTCTGAGGCATACAGCACAATGTTACATACTGAAAACATAAGAGCACAGAAAATGAAACAAAATTTCAGGACAAACTGGTAAAATTCAGTTCCCGCTCCAATTTCTTTCTAATATTTTTATCCCATGAGGAAAAAAAAAAATTTGAAACGTGTAAAATAACTGTTGTTGTTTAGAATTCACTGACTACTGCTGCACTGCAAAGTACTTTCACTCAAACTTGTAGCATTATGTGGTTACAACTTCCAAGTATTTTTATGCCAAATCTATTGCTTGCCTGTCAGCTGGGTCAGTTATATTTTAAAATCAATAGGTAAAACAAAGATACATGTGTTTTCCTAGATTTTATTTCAGAAACATAACTTCTACGATCAAACACCTCAAATCATTCATTCAAGAGATCAGACATACTGCTAAATTTTTCATATTTTTCTCTCCTCTATTTTTATGTATCAGTTGATACACAGGATGTAACTAAAATTACATATAACCTTTGTTTTTTTTGAAATAAAACTCCTTTCCAGAAACATATCTAGAAATACTTGCTATGTGCTATCTAGCATACAGTACTGACACACAATGATTATGTAACCTCAATTATTTTTTTAACATATGGAACTACAACAGACATTTAATTTTTCCTACATAAAGACCATCTTCGAGAAGCAACACTGAAAGAAAAACTTTCCCCAGTGTCACAAAATTTCCTCATCGAAGCAAAAAAAAAAAAATTAATGATTCCAGGTTCCTCAAGAAATCAAGCACCCAGCAACCCAGTACACCTGAAAGCACTTCATGGCACCTTTTTAAAATCAGATTAGACCCCTCCACGATACGATGTGCCACAGTCAGCACTTGGTGCTCTTGCAAATCGGATCTCGTTGGGCCTCGGGACCAAAGGGCACCTCTGGCAGCATCACCCATCTCACCTGCATTTGCACTGAACTCTTAAAACCAGATAAACACAAACCCTTAATGCCTGAACAGCCTCCTTACAGACCAGACACCACAGCCTACTCTTTGTGAGTAAAATGAGCTTCTGTATCTAGACTGGGAGACTTTAGATGGAGATTGCGGGGGGCGTGGGGAGAGGGAAAGTCCAGCATATTCATGACAAATAAGAGGAAAGCTTTCTGCTAACTAAAAATGCCACTGATTTATTTCTATGCACAAGAGCTCGTCCATTTGGGCGCACAAGTTCCCTTTGTGGTAGCAACAACAATCCCTATGTCTTGGGGCCAGAAATGGTCTCTTCCTCCACAGAACCAATGGTGCCATTCCTTTTATGTATTGATAGACAACTCTATTTTACCATACCTGATCATTTTATTTTAAAGTTTTCCTGTGCCATCAGCAAGAAAACACATTGCATCCCAGTGTGATGTACGTCCTGCTGACATACGGAGCCATGTGCAGTTTAAAAGCACGAGGCTGCATTTTTTTCCTCCCATCATTACTATGTGCACAACCAAAGTAAATACATTTAACAATAAGCAGTTAATTATTATTAGAAATGTTTTTTAAAGTATTATAGCATTTACAGTTTCATATTACAAAAGTCTTATGTTTAGCTTCTTCATGATATTGAACATATATAAAAAGGTAGCCTACAAGATGAAAATGAATATAGTGAGATTTGAGCATGAGGAAGGGGTCTGTGGGTGAGTAGACACCAAAATAAATGTTCTCCTCTTGCTAGATTGCTGACGTTTAAGCCTCCCTGCAACAGTGCTTCACAAGGGAAGAGCAGTAAAAGCACAGAAATTCTGTGTTTCAGTACTTCCAGCTGAGAAGCTCATTTGCTCTGTAGCTAGGAATGAATTACACCTCCTGGAGCTACACACCTGCCTTCTGGGGAACGGTAATTCTCAGCTTCCCAACCAGGAAGAGAGCAGGAGCAAATGGTTAGGGCAATACTCACACAGTTTTTGCCACTTACAGTTCCACACAGGCATGATTCAAGTGAGCAGCCTTAAGAAAAATAGGCATTGTTTATGAGGGGATGACAGTGATGAGCAGGGAAGCGATTACTTTATAAAGCCAGATAAGGCCATTTAAATCAGATTCGCTCACTTCTAGGAACCTGGCATGGTATCAAAGCATTCTTTCAAAACCCAGACCAACTGGGACAAATCAACATGGTTATGTTCAACAGATGTTTTGGAGGTGCTTGAAGAGGAATAAGAAGTGGAAAAGAAAAGAAAGGGAAGAGGTAGGTAGCCATCAGTCTGGCACAATGTGTCTAAAAAGCAATAATCCAGGAACAGGGAACACCAAAATAAAAGGAAGCCAAGAAAGTAAGGTGCCAGTTCTATCTCCTCTCAGACTACATTTGAGGAGCTTACAGAATACAGATAGGAGATATAAGGAAAAAAAAATTGCAACACTGTATCACATGTTCCTCTTCTGATATAACCCATACACCCAGAGTGCAATTTTTTATAAAAAATAATAATAAAAAAATTCTTTTTAAGTCACTGTATATGTAGTTATTTTTCAATGAGTTCTGCTGTGGTGTACAATTAACATGATATAATCACAGGTTATACACAGACAACACCCATACTCGTTCAACTGGATTTCAATAGCACTACATGGGCTGTCCCATAAACAGCAAGTATATGATTTTCATTCTTTTAGCAAGCCACTTACATCAACGTTTTTTCCCCCTCAAGCGCATATAGTACCAGCCCATTTCAAACTACCATTCATAGCACGACACAAACCTGCTCTTAACTTTCACATTCCCTTAAAGATTATCTCACTCCTTTCTTGCTTTCTGCACTTTTCACATTGCCGTTCCCTTCCTCCCCTATTTGTCTGCCCTTCCTTATCTTCAGCTCAAGCATCTTCCCTTTCTCCTCTCTGCAGTGCGTGACAAAGAACCCTGCTGTCGGTGCATAAGCAATATTCTCCTCCCTCTTCTGCCCTCTACATCTCCTTTTCCAGCCTTCCTGTTGGATTTTATTACAAATTTTCTCCGTCTTTCTCACTTCTCTGAAATACACGCTCTAGTTTAAAATACAACTTTAAGATGATAAGCAAACAGGAAATCACACACTAACAGCTTCAGTAGCTATGTAATTCTGCCACAGCAAGTATCTCTTTATTCCCTGTCTGTCTCTCTTGGGTTGTATTTGTATTAAATTTCATTGTCTGCAGAAAGGACCGTGTTCTGCTATTTCTTCTGCCAGACAGTCAGTATACATTAGGTACTGCAGAGGGGATAAAACAATGCAGCTGCTCAAGTGAAAAAACTGCTCCTTAGCTGCTGCCTTTTAAAAAGTCATGGACAAGGAAGCTCCTTCTCATACAAGGAAGCCTCTCAAAATGGGAGGGAGAAAATAGGAGATTATATAGGACCTAACCTCAAAACAAGTCTTCAGTAAGATGCATACCAAGTTCATGAGAATTTGGCTACATTTTAGTATTTCTGCATGTTTTAAAGATACTCCTAAAAGCAGATTCAATACTGGAAATACTTGACATCTGCTTTTCCAGAAAAACAATAGCTATTGCAGCTGCTCAGCAGCTTTGGAGAAGGGGAAAAAAATAAATAAAAAAGCTGTCCAGAACGGTTTTGGTACTGTTTATAGTCTAACATATTAATTTTAAAGGAGTGGTAAAGATCCTTAAAAGTCTTAAGCCAAACTACGATATTCCCAGTATCTGAACTGTGTGCTCTGAAGCGGCTTCCATCCTAAGTCAGTACTCCGTGCTAACATGACAGACACAAACAGCCATACATAACGGTTAAGGCAACTAGCTAACGAATTAGATTGCTCACCAAAATCAAGACTAATTAACTCCATTTCTCCTACACTTCTGTAATTTTGAAGAAAGGAAGAGCATCCTTCAGAGAGAAGAATAAGCTAACTTCAATGGAGGCAGACATTAAACCAAGTTACTTTGATGTACGAATTTGGCAGCTGGTAGCATTTCTGTTTGCACAGGTAATGCAAAATGTAAAACTATCACTGGTTGTGATATTAGCAATAGCACAAGAAAGAAACTATCAGCACAGAAAGTACCTTTTTCTGTTTCTTTTTCCTCTATTATCATGACACATGTTATCTTATGCGCATGAAACAGTTAATTGTATTACCCGCCTCAAAAATCAGGAAGTCTGATAGTTTAGTAGCTAGTTGAGACACAACTCAAAATTCTTGTCAGGCACAGCCAAGAGAATAAATAACCACAGGTAATATTTATTCCATTCCAGAGACATAACCATACCATTTTCTATTTCAGCTAAATCCTTAGCAAAGCTGTAATAGAAATTCAAACTGTGTAATAGCTCAAGACACTCATGGTAAAAAGCAAGGCACAGCTAATATATCCACACTACAGAAAATCCCTGTGCTGCCTACAGGCACTTTCATTTTGGTCAAAGAATTTCTAGTAAGAACAAAGATAAATAATGTATCTGAAATATACAGATCTCTGTCCGATAAAATCTAAGTGAAAATTTACAAGTGAGTTCAAAGACATTTTAAGAATGTATTTCTGTGCGGTATGGCAGTTAAAAGAAAAAAGTAAAAAAAGAAAAAAGAAAGAAAACTTGTTAACTGTTAGTCCTGATTCCTGACAACTACAAGACTGAAAGTCAAAAGAGCTTTCAACAGAAATCTAACCTGACACAGAAAAAATAGTAGCACTAGCCATCACTTGTCCAATTTTGAGTTCTAGCTCTGTTTTAAGTCCATAACATCTATACTTGCTACCTTGTCAGAAACAAACTAAACTTCAAACAAAAAAGGAAGAGAAGAAACAAAAGGCCTGTCTTACATCAAGGTCAAAACGCACTAAACATACACTCAAGACTTCATTTCCTCTCTCTGGTCTGTCAGAACTCTGTGACTGCCAGACCTACTCTTCCATTGGTTTTGCTCCTATTCAGGTTAGGAAGACTCTTTGGAGAAGGATTTTCTGGCCCTGTACAAAAGTAAAATAAACTCTAGAGACTGGAATAATCTCAAACATGATTATTTGTATTTATTGATACTTACATAAATGATGGCCATACCTCATTTCAAGTAAAACGTTAGGGAGGAACCACCTCCAAATGACTAAAAAAATAGTTGGTCAAGGAGGAAAAAAAAAAGCTCTCTCCAAAATTTGTCAAATAGAAAAAAACCCCAAACAATGCTTATTTTATCATTTAAATAAACATGATAAATACTTTGTAATAAACAAACATAAATATATCAACAAATTTACAAGACAGTACTTTCTCCTGCCTGTAGTGATCCCCTGAAGCAAGCCTTTGAAGACCACCTTTAAATGTTAAGAACTTCAAAACTCACTTCAGCAATCCAGATGCAGTTGCAGTGATTAACTAACAAAAAAAAAAAAAATCACACTCATCCCTCCAGAAGCAATAATGACCAAGAATAAAATGCAGAACAGTACATATGACCATACAGCAAATCCTTGTTGTTTTCAGAACAGTTATTCCTTTAAGGAAGAAATCTGTGAGCAAAAGTTTTTTCCTTACTGTGTATAATCAAGCTATAAACTGTTTTAAATTCCACTGTTGTCACTGTCATCAAAGAAGCATGCAAACATTAGAACTTCAGTCCGCGGAAGAGCAGAACCATCATTTTCTGGATGTTTTAAATACCATCGAGAGATCCCAACCGAGTTCACATTGTTGCCTGCGTTATTTCATCACAGTATTAAGTCAGAATCACAGTTAGAATAAACGTAAAAAGAACACTGCAACATACCTGTGTGGCCATGCTTTGTATGTACGTGGTTGGATGCTGCTGCTTTTGTTGAACAGCACTTTCTATTGCTACTTTCGCTACAGTGCTTGGATCCGCTCCAGCTGGCACAGCAACCATAGTTGCGCTGCAACCAGCGTTGTTGGGGTCACTGATTGTAACAATTCTAACTCCTACTTTATTTGGAATTCCTGGAACAGTTTCCCTGTCATTATCCTCTGCTGGCCTCTTTACAGTTTTGCATTCTGCTGTGCCATTAGTAGACCGAACTTCGGATGACAGGGTAGACTGGGACACTCTAGGTCCTGAGTGTGGAACTGCTATGATTTGATGCCCCTGTATAACAGAGGCTGTAGATTGTGGTGAGACAACTACACTTGGGCGTTGCTGAGGCACATCTGAATTCAAACTTGAAGCTAGAGGTCCATTAGGTAAATCAGTGTTGGTACCACTAAGTTGCTGGGTTAACAGTTTTGCAGCCTCCTGTGTACCGCTTACAACAGGTGAACTACTCAAAGTTAATACAGGCCCATTAGAAATTCTTTCCCCTTGATCACCTTTGGCAGTATCTTGCTGCGTGGCATCCAAATTCCCTTGTTGTTCCACTGAAGATATCTCACCATTTCCTACATGATTGGAAGTTTTGTGATTTGGAATGTTTTTGCTCAAATGAGAACCATCTCCTTTATCAAAATCACAGATTCCATTAACTAGGGGCTTCTTCAAATCACTTTTAATTTCCTGTGTGTCCATTTGTTCAAAGTTCTGCTTTCCAGGAGCTCCGTTCTCACCCATTTCTAATGACGGCCCATTACTGACTTGTGAGCACTGATTGGCCTCATTCTGAGTTTTCCCTGAGTTAGAAGGAGGTAGACTGGAGTCACTATACTTTCTCCCATTTAAAAGACTTCCCACCTGCATTTCATTTTCTTTTGCATCCCCATTGCTGGTGTTTGCAGCTCCTCTTCGGCAGGAAGGATTCTCCATAACTTCAATTTTACGTTCGTGAATGTGTAAACCTGTTGCTTCCTTTGCCTCTTCCTCCTTTTGGCAAATTATTTTATCACCTTTGAACGGGGGAGCAGCAGTACACGGTGATTGTCCAGCTGAAGGTGCTTGAGTAGCTGGAAGCGTTTGAACCTGCAGCCCAACTCCTGTCTGTGCTCCACTGCTGGAGCAATGATTTGAGTTGCATTTCCCTGACTCACGGTTGCAGTAGCAAAACTCGTATTTGGCACAACTGTTATCGTAACCTGGTTGCCAGTAGTCCCTTGGAAAATAGTCGCTGGGCTGTTCGAGATCAACTGGCCTGGCAATATCTGCAAATTAGAAATGGGTACTGTTTGTACTGCTCCTTGGGGCGGGATCGCACCCGGGACCAGCTGGACGTTTTGCTGCCCGACCAGCAGCTGCTGAGCTGGAGACTGTCCTTGAACTCCGAAACCTGGTGCCTGGTTATTGGCCATCTGATAGACCACCTGAGGGCTTGGAGCTCTCGCATTATTCGGTGGAGGAATCTGTGGAGCTGGGAGAATAAGCTTCCCCCCGGGAGTCGAGGGGCCTCTTTTCGGAAGAAGCAGCTGTTTTATCAGACTAGACTCACCAGAGTTAGGCTGGCCAACTCCTGTACTAGCTTGCTGTGACTGAACTTGCATTTGTATCGGTTGTTGTACCTGTACCTGCTGCTGCGATGACGCTGGTGAATGTTGCTGCTGCTGCTGCCTCTTTACAGAAAGCATCTGGCTGACAGTAGGAGGGGGTCCTTGCGACTGAGGAGTGGTAGATGAAGACGACATAACTGTAGGGACTTGATTATTCGTAACCGGACCTGGGGACGGTGAAGAAGATGGAGTAATGCTTGGCTGCCCAGTCAACTGGACAGTCTGACCAGCGGGAATAGAGGCTGGATTAGCAAGCACGATCTGATGAATGGCTGGCGCGTACGTCTGGCCTTGCTGAGCGGGCTGGCTCACAATCACTACGCTTTGCTGGGATGGTGGTGGAGGCTGCTGCTGTGGCTGCATCGGCTGCTGTACCACGGCAGGTGGAACCTGCTGAGATGGCAGGGGCTTCGGTGCGATGTTCTGAAAGCCCACCCTAGAAGTCGGTGGGCTTTGGACACCCGCAATTGTAACCACCTGCCCAGCTGCTACTTGGAAATTTTGAACCGTGGTGGCCGAAACGATGTTGGACGCAGAGGTTGTGACGTATTGCTGGGGTGCTATGATGACCGTGTCTTGTTGCTGGTTACCAGCAGAGGACTGCTGTGACGATGTCTGCCCAGGTTGTGACGACGTGCTGATTAGCTGCTGACCCTGTGAAACGGCTGAACTGCATGCTGGTATGTTTTGTACTCTGCCAAATATATGACCCTGAGGTACAGCTTGCTGAATTACCGTAACAGGAGTGCCTGAAGGTATCTGTCCCGGTACCACTGCATGCAGCGGAGACTGTTGTTGAATTACAGGTTGGTGGTGAAGCAACGTCTGAGAACTAACAACAGTAACAGACGGCTGTTGTCCCGTAGTGCTGTGATTTTGGTTAGAAGCTTGCGGTGCTCCTCCTACAGCAATAGTAACAGGAACTGCAGACTGGGGAACAGAGCTCTGTATTACTGTGGCCTTCACTACCTCACAGGGTATTGGACCTTTATTTTGGATAACAGTCACTGGAGCATTTTGTTGCTGCTGTGTGTGAAGAGAAGGATTCTGTGGAATTCTAGAAACAGTCTGTGCCACAGTATGAACACCTTGAATTGGAAAAGACATCTGTGTTGCTGTCAAAGTTGAAGACTGGTTAATAGGGGTCCTCTGATAGTGATTTCCTACGCTTGGTAGCCCATGTGGGATTCCTGTTGAAATAAGCAGAGGAAAAGTTTGGAAGCAAAAATTATTTCAAAATGCATTAACATAACAGATTTTAAAAATCCACGGCTTGGATTTCTAATTCTGTTTCTCTTCTCAGCTATGCTGCATCTGAATTAACGATGTGGCAACAACAGTTTGCCTGCTGAGTGGCAAGTTCATGGGTTTACATGTCAAACACCAGAATGGCTTTCAAGTACATACTACAATATTGTTCCTAACACTATTGAATAAAATTAATTGAAACACGTGGCCCCCAACTTGCAACACTTCCAAACTATTTTCCAGAATTTTTGTCTTTATCATTTCTGAAACAATGCGGAATACTCAATATTGAATTAATTTAAAAACCTGCTGGCGAAGGAGACGAAGACACATCAGGAATTGAATCAACCCGGACAACTGGGGTAGACGGAGCTGGTTGCTGCTGATAGTACATCTGAATGGGAAGTGGTATAGCTCTTCTCTTCACCCCTACCACATGTATGTGTGCTTGACCATTGTTACTTGGATCTTCTACTCTCTTCACTGTATGATTTGGAAAGACAGTTCTGCCAAACACAAGATATATCTATGTTAATAAACACAATAACTCAGCTTTCTTAGTTTTTGCTCAATTACTCTTGTGTGCAGAGTAACTAATGCCTGTCTCTTTACAATACAGCAGGATTCTCCAATCGCATCTGAGTGTCCTCATTGAGGACTAGCAGGTCCACCAGATGGTTGGCCAAGATCTCATAAAAGCTAAGGGAAAACTATAATACCCCCAAAAACTACTTTGGAAAGAATTAAAAGGACTGTAAGCAGAGAAAAACCCCTATCAAAAGCTCTGAAGTAGAATGAAATAAAATTAAACTCTAAAAATTTGTTTCAATTAAAATTCCAAAACTGCATATCTTTCAAACTCAAATCAGAAGATCTTTCTCTTCTCAAAGAAATCTAAAGCTACAGATCTTTATTAAGCACATACAATTCTTTATTTATTGTTGCATGAATTTTTGTCTTACCGCAGACATTTATAAAATCCAGTTGATGTCAGGATACCACCTCGAGCTAATTTACTACACGTAGAGAGGTATTCAGAGTACATTTCTGCTCGAGAGACTGAGCAATCAAGATTCACCTCAAAATGTGCATTCAACCTGAGGATGAAAAAATAAACTATGAAGCAAAATATAGATAAATTACTTTTAAAGGGGTTGTTAAATCACTTCTGGGTGTAACAGTTGCTTTTGATACCTGATAACAACATGGAAAATGGAATTTTAGTGTACTGTCTTGTCAAATGCCTATTCCCTACTGTCTTCTCCTCACTGCTTAGGGGTCCTATGTGTTTAATCATAAACACACGCGGTTTTAGATGCAACATCATATTTGCATATGTAATATGTAAAATACTCTTTAAATATGCCTAGTTTACTGTATATTCAGAAACAAACCCCAAATGGAATGCATTGTTTAGTGACATCTCCCTCCCACAGCTCTATTCCTATTTCTCAATGATTCTACTTTAGCAAAAGAGGGACTGAATGCTATTCATCAGAAACTTCTGTCGGAAGTCAACATTTGTATCAAACACAAGATTTTATTAACCGATCTGCAAATGCAGTCTTACTTTAAAAGACAAGTAAAACCAGAGATAGAATAACCATCTCAACCCTGTTATTCTTACAGAGGTAGGAAGGCAAGAGGGAGGGGACTGACATTTTAATAGAGTATGCACATGCGCACACACACACACTCTCTCTCTCTCTCTCATTCCTGGAGTCCCACACCACAGAGATATCAATGAAATCCTTGAACAACCTGTTCTGCCTAACATTCACTTCCCACTGAAAGAAAGTATTTTTACCCTCTACAAATTCTTCACAAGCACACAAGACCATCCAATCCTCAACCAGGAAGCTGTGAGAGAAGGAAACACTTCACAGAATCATAGAACAATTCAGGTTGGA